CAAGAATGGACTTTTTTAATGTTTTTTTCCGACATTTCGAATAATTTTTCAATCATTCGTTTACCTTCCTTATTGTCTTTTACAAACACACTTGGTTCAGCCTTTTCCATGACAGACCACATCTTTTGATAGGTGGAGTAATTTGACTTCTGAAAATACCAAATACCAAATAGCGATTAAAAAAAACGTTCGTTCTCAAAATCAAATCGATGTTAATTAGGCACCTTGAAGAAATCTTCCGTGCTGCCACCGGCTTGTAGCCTACAAGTATGAATTATTAAGACAAAATAATAACGAGAAATTAAGTCATTGTTGACTGGTATTTTTCTTTTGAAAGCGGTAGAAAGATGCTTGACTTACCCATATCGTATTTGATTTTGAGATGCCAAATCATCGACACTGCCAATACTTTCTTCCATTTGAATTTTGGTTAAGAAGGCAGCCAAATTAGCGGTATAAGAAGAAATGACAATGAGAGCAAAGAACCACCAGACAGCAGCAGCCATACGGGTCGGTATACCTCTGAAGATCGTACAAATAAAAATGTAAGCCACATTCATTAGGTAGAGCCATTGTGTCAAAAATATATTACTTGGGCAGAATATCACATCCTTGTTGCATAATAGAGCCTACCGTCAACCAAATACAGTTGTGCATGTTCCAAATATTTTCCAATTCTTCGGGATCTTCATCACAGGGATGTGGATTTTCCCAGTCATTCGCAGTCATTCTAGGAAATAATTGGAATTTCTTCATACAGAGAAAGTTGCGTAATTTCTTTTTCTGGTGAGAAAATGAGATGGAATATAGTTTACTTAGCCAGCAAGAATTCAGTGATTGAAATACATAAAAAAGCCGTAGCCACGTGAACCCAAACGTGCCTTGACAGTGGATCCATGAAAGAAAATAAACCAGCCTTCTCTTTGTGTGGTTTAGCATACAAAATGCTGATTCCTGTTTCATCAAACACAAAAATACGACGAAAAATAGTTATAGACGTAGGCCCTAATCGATCTACAATTTTAACGGTTTATATTGATCACCTAAAGTCATGAATGGGGTAGAAAAATCCATTACAGTTTTGCGTGAATGCGTCACAGTAATATCGCCAATGGCTAAGTCAGCTCTCTGAAATAGAAAAACAAATCAATTTTGTTCAAAATTAAATATTGGTGTAAGTTTTCGTATTGAAGTATTTTGCTTGCCTTATTGACAATTTCTCCAATAATCCCCGACCATTGACCAGTGGCTAGATTTTCTTTACCTAAAATGAAGGGAAAAAAATTAAATTGTTCTCTGGTTTTTTTCTTGTTTCTTATTTGATTTTCAGTAAAACCACGACACGGTCGTCGTTAAGTGATTTTGAACAACACAAAAGGTGGTAAGAATTGTTATCGCTACAATACAGCGCTCATAGCCGAGCACAGAAAAGAATTGGTATTTCATATATATTAATACAATTGAACCGAGCAAAAAAACAATAAATGACTCGTCAAAATGTTCACAAACACGTGATTTTCACTTTTGATCGAGAAAAAAAGTAGAAAAAATGTTCTCTTCAAACTGTCACATTGACAGTCGTCATCTAATACGTACGTGTGTGTTTTTTGTCTAATTAAAAAAGTCTTTGATCATTATATGCGAGTATTTATTCCCCGGATGCCATTTAATTGAATTTTTATTGCCAAAGGAGCACACGAATCGTCAGTAGTCTTAAACGCCATTAGTTCTGTTACTAACCGCTTGATTTGTGTGCTTCTATGCGTTGCGTATCCATCATCGTCATTTTGTCTGTCACTGGACTATGCATTTATACGATTTTGGCACACACACACACAATGACAAAAGAACTGTTCTAGTGACCATTTCGCATTTCTAATTTGCTCTGATTCTAGAGGCAATACAAGCGTACGAGATCGGGCGAGTGACCATTTTTGTGCATTTTCAGTTCAGTTTTACGCAGTGACTTGAGCAGAAAACACAGATAAAATGTCAGGCAAATTTTCGTCTCTCGCAAAGCGAGGCATTCGTTTTCGTGCAACGGATGAAGCAAAAAAACGTCGACCAAACGAAATTGGCTCACGCGAGAATTGTGTGCCAGTTTTCGTGGTAAAACCTGCTGCCGAAGGAGTAGAACAGCCAACAATTGAGGAAGTTGTAGTCGATTTAACAGGAACGTAACAAGAAAATCGACCAAGTGTATTCATTGGCCAGCCACCGTTTTACACCAATTATATGGCAATTTTAGAACACCTGTTCTACGATGTAGGAGAAAAAAAGTATCAAGTGGATTTTGCGCTAAACGCTAACCTTGTGTCATTCGAATCCATGTCGAAGGAACAACAATTCGGTGAATTTTCGTGAAGAGGATAGTTCGCCAGATCTGAATAACAATCCCCTCGAAAATGATGATGATGGCGATTATCTGATTGATTCTGAAGATCAATTTTTCATATCCCCCCGACTGGCTGCCCGTGCCGACTCAAATGCAAATGAAAATCGTCCAACCCGTGTTCAATATACGGTGTCCACACAGCGCGCCCGACAACAGTTCGAAAATCAAGATGAAATTGTACGCAACCAAAATGGGCTGGCATATTGGAAAGTGTGCAACAGCAACAACAACCGATGGAGATTCGAGATGAGCTGATCACTGATGCGATTCGAATATACGTCAAAATACAGTTTACCGTGAGTGAAAAGTACAAGATTTCGCATAAATCATTGGAAGAATTGAACAAAGCGGCAATTGTTCTCATTGATTCGTTCAAGCAACGTTCGAAAGTGAATCTCTTTAAACGAACAGAAGCTTGTGCGGGAATTCAAAACTTGTTGTTCGAATTGGTGAAAAAGGGAATTGGCAACGGTAGCAGCCAAGCGCGGCAGCAGCAACAAGTAAGTCATTTGAAATTGTGTTTTTTTCATGTATGTGAAATGGAACGAACAACTTTGAATGGACAAACAATGTCGTCCGTATGCAAACGGTGCAGTGTGACTGCTTCTTCTTCTTAACTAATCTATACATGTAAGTCGCCATATTGGTTATAATGTTCACAAATGGCACTCAATACACTGTATACATTTTCAATATGGCCGCACCCATTGTGTACGACAGTGTGAAGAAGAAGAAGCAGTATTATAAGAAACTGTGTATGGGTTTACATAGGGATGAACAATGTTTGCATTGACAAAAAAAACCTAATTTTTTCTCTACCGATTAATGTTATTTTCATTTTCTCTTCATAGCGATCACTCGTGGCGGGGCAAAGCAACGCAAACGGACGACAACAACAACAACAACAACAACAACAACAACAACAACAACAACAAC